GTGTTTTGAACTAGACTCCCTCTATCGAATGAGGTTCTCAATCAATATAAAGCATTGAATCGACCCTCGACTAAAGCAATCGATCCAATACTATCAACCTATGGTGCTCTATTGACCTAATCAGGTATTCACTCTCATAGGATGAAAACAGAATCAATAATCTCGACTAAAGCAGAATTGAATCATGAAAACATGCATAGATTGAATATGAACTCAAGATTATCAAGAGTACTCATACAATCATCTAATCAAACAAACATGGCTAGGGTTATCAAAACCTAAGTGAAGGGAAGTTACTCCATAGAGAAGAGAGAGAATGCAGTAAGAGTCTTCAGATGATCAGTCTTCAAGTCCGGGCTTGTTCCTCGAGCTTCCAAGGCGAAGAAATCATCCAATTCCACTCCAAGATTGCCCTCAAATCGCCCTCTCTCTCTCTCTCTCTTTGGTTCGTCCCTTGGGTGTTTGGAATCCAAAACCCAGCTCCCCCTCCAAAAACGCACAAAAAAGGCTTTTAACAGCTTGCGTTCGCGACCCGATAGGGTATTTTGTGTACCCGGTCGGGTATTTTTGGTTCAAGACCGGGGGCCTTCTGATGCTGTCAAAAATACCCTATCAGATGGTCAAAATACCCGGTCGGGTATTTGCAGTTCCGGGTCCCCTATCTTTGATTCTTCATTTCTCCATTGTTCGAACTCCAAATCAGGTTTCGTTTGATCCCAGACGCTCGTAGTCTCGTCTTTCTTATCATGACAAGCTTACATGATTTTATGGTCACAAACTGAGATAGAAATTCATTTTTCTTCAAGTCATACCCGAGTTTCTTCCCCCGAGTCGCCAATTGATCTCCAATTGACTTGAAACTTGCGCCTATGCTTCACTTTATGTGCTAGGACCTGAAATGTGACAAAGGAACAAAACCTAGCGTAAAATAGGCCAAAGAAGCGATAATGCAAACTTAAATGATCAAGAAACTAGGGGGAAACATGTGCAAATATCAAGTCATAGTACTGAAAATCGGGTTTGAAAGAAAGAAACTGAATTTACCCTCTATAAGCAATCAATCTTTCCTTCCTCAGCCTCTCCAATCTCCACCTCACTCTCCAGCTCGGTCTTCCCTGTTGCATTCCTGGAGGGTCCAATAACAAAACTCAAACATTAAGCGGGGGAAGCAAACAAAACAATATAGGGTCCCCTAAAAAAATGAAACAAAACAAAACAATATGTTACTGGACTTGATTTCAAACCATAAGCACTGAACCGGGGGGGGGGGGGGGGGGGAGTTTTTGCTTCCTTGGAAACAATTGAGTTTTTCAATCAGTATATCTTTAAAATCCTTCCCTGCGAGTAACACAGAGAAAAGAACGGCAAGCATAGGTAAAAATGTTGTAAATATCATTACTATGGTGTACTGCAACTCGAAATTCTACTTCTTTATTCGGATGAGGTATGTAACTTCCCGTTCCAATACGAATCAACCAGCCAAGCCTCAGGTAACCCAACAAATCCTAGACAAAAAATTTCAAAAATAAGAGAATTGGCAATGCATTCATCTTCACAGAGCTTCTGCTTTACTTTCAACATTTCATCTGAAAAATAATAAAATGTCCTCAAACCAAGGTTGTGCATAAAATCATAAGTACATACAACTCTTCCCCACACTAATACAACTCTTATGTCATTGTCGAGCAAGGATACTCTGCAACAAATGTAAAAGTAATAGAGGTGGCAATTGGATCGGATTCGTGGATTCATGGATTGGATCAAATGGATCCATGGATTCATGGATTGGATTTTAATGGATCCGTGGATTCGTGGATCGGATTAATGGATTGAATGGTGGAAATTTGTCTATTACTGCCTTGAAATGATTCGAATGGCATGAACAATAATTATAAGTGAATTCATGCAGCTGGAGAAACCGTCGCGCCGCCACCGGCGACCAAGTCCGCCAATCCAAACACCTGGAAGAAGACAAAAGGATTATCTACTTATCTCCCATTCCAGCCAGTACTTGCTCGCTCACCAGCGAGAATGCCATGAAGTCCTCCGGCTCCAGCGGCTCGGCTGTGTCGTCGGGAAGGAAATGGGCTCTGATGCGGGTTCACTAAGATCCCCTGTACTTCTGCCGGGAAGCGACTCCCACTACAGACGGAGATCACCCATGGCGGCAGCCAGCGGGTTCCGGTACGACTAGATTGATTATTCTCAGAATTTCGGCGACGGGAATTGGAATCATGAAAGTGAGTTGGGTTTCAATCATGGGTTCTCGTCCAGATTTGGCTCCTCCTGCTAACTCTTCATCAATCAAAGTCCAGAGGCCCCTTCACGACAAGGAAGAAGGTAGGCTTCACCATTCGTGATGGTAAATCAAGCTCCTCGGTAACGGCATCCATAATTGATCAGGTCGAATCGAGCCAGAAGCAAGAACTCGTCGTACGGACGTCGAAATCGGCCGTTCAAATCGGTGGGATGGGAACAGAGGCGGCTATAATCAATGGCCAGGAAACTAATCCAAATGAAGAAGAATTGGGTCCAGATGGTAACCAAGAATCTGCTGTTGACGAATTCTTCAGCTGCGTTTCGAGCATGGTTCCAATTGTTACTGGTGGGTCCGAAGCAGGGGCCGCCATTGATCTTGTTCGATTTAGCATAGGGGAAGTAGAAGAAGAAGGAGAGTTGGGATCTTGTTCGAAGCTGTTAATGGCTATTGATGATGAAGATGACGATGATGAACAACAGCAGGAAGAAAAGGAGGAATCTTTAGTCGTTAATGCCTCTATAACCAGTTGCAATTAGTTTCCTGCACATAACCATTTCTAAACAATTTGATGTAAGTGGTTTATACAAAACAAAATAAACAAAGTCGCAAGTCTTTTACCAAAGCCACAATTCATAATCTATCTGAGTGGCACCATGACAACAAGACAGTATGCAAATAACAAAACAGTGATGACAAAGTTCAATTTTCATTCATCTGAGATAGGAGTAGAATCTGAGGCCATTGAGGATGCTCCAATATCCTTTGAAATCTTCACTTCAAATCCATTATCACAATCATCACCTATATCATAGGATTTGAAATGTTACTTAATAATGTAATAGATTGAACAATATCATAAACAAAATATATTCATTACCTTACGTGGAAATCCGTATAACCAGTTGCGAGTAGTGATCAAAGCTTTGGCGTTTTCAGGCAAAAGAGAGCTCCGCCAACTGTTTAAAACCCTACCTGCCATACTGAAAGCCGACTCTGATGCTACAGTTGTAATAGGAATGCTCAAAACATCTTTGGCCAAGTGAGCAAGCTCCGGGAATCGAGATTCATTATTCTTCCACCATAGAAGAACATCCAATGGTTGTTTGCGCTTGAGCCTCTTATCATCAAGATATTCATCTAATTGTGTTCTATCACCTAAGAACTGGTTTTCCCCAAATGAATCAAACTCCTGTGAAACAAATAACTCACATTAGTACATTAAAACGAAGTAATAGAGAAATAAAGAAGCATATTTACTTACATCCATATCATCTCCATAGTCTACATCTTCAGCAATATCGTCAACAAGTGATGAAGATTGATCAGTAGAATCACCATACACCTTTAGTAGATCACATATCTTTCCTCGGAGCTCAGAACACTTTGCTTTAGCAACATTATTGTCCCTATACAGCTTCTCATAACAGAATTTCACAGAATCCAACTTTTACCGTGGATCAAATACCACTGCTATAGAGAGAATCGTATTGCAGGAGTCCCAGTACTTGTCAAATTTTTGCTTCATTGCTAAAGCCATGTTGCGAATATCACTATCCATACTTTTAGATGCCTCTATCAATCGCATATGAATCCTCCAAACATTGAAGAAGTATAAGTTCGAAGTAGGATAATGCACTACAGAAAAAGGTTTGTGATATCATCAAAAGGATTTAAAATCTTCTTAATTTTCTTGATCTTCTCCCACTCCACATCTGACGAAAATCGATCAAAATTCCTATCAACCAACTTCAAATGCTGAAAAGCACGACGATAGAGCTCAGCTCTCTCAAGCATCCTATATGTCGAGTTCCATCTAGTCGGACAATCTAACCACAATCCTTTCGAGCTCAAACAGCTGCTTCTTTTCGCACAATCTTCAAAGACTATCATTCGAGATTCAGACCCCTTAACATACTTCACCCACTCTCTAATCACATCTATCAAAGCACGAATCTGTTTTAATCCTTCATTCACAATCAAGTTTAAAATATGAGCACCGCAACGGATATGAAAATAATCTCCATCACATACCAAAGCATCATCTTCTTTCATCTGGTCCATCAATAAACCTTTCATAACATCATTGCATCTAGTATTATCCAATGTAATTGAAAAAAATTTCTTCTTAATTTTCCACTCTTTCAACAAATCATATACGGCATGAAACAAAACTACAGCACTATGCAGCGGCGGATCCAGGACACAGCAGAACACTGGGCCCGCATTTCATTAGAAAATTAGATACCGTATGAAAATCATAAATTTTTTTATTATATCAATTGTACACGTCGATCTTTTTAAATTTTAATATAGTGAATTCATCAATAATGGAGTCTACATCCATACCAATAGCATACTCTCTTTAAGATAAAATAGTTAACCAATTGGCGAGAAATTCATCGCTCATTTTATTACGTAGATAATTTTTCACATATTTCATTTGTGAAAAGGTTCTCTCCGTAGTTGTTGAAACGAGCAATGTCAACACTAGACAAATCAATATATATATATATATTTTTTTGTGTCAATCCCGATTTTCACCAGTTACTCTAGTAATTTTTCAAGTGAACAAACCTCATATTCCTTTTAATCTTTTACGTTTTTAACTTTTAGGATTTTAGGTTTCATTGATTGTTTTTCTTTAGGAGAGAATCATTGGAGTTAGAATTTTCAAGTTAAATTTAGAGCTGTGTTTTGAATATGTTCATCTGACCCATTTTTCTAATTACACACAATCTTATTATAAAATAACACTGGGCCGAATGACTACAACCGATAAACTAATAAGGGCTATACTAGCTTCGGATCCAGAGGAGGGCTGGGCCGTGGCCCGGGGTGGCCTCCCCCTGGATCCGCCACTGGCACTATGTGGAGGTGCAATGTGACAGAAGTTCAAGATCTTAGTATTTAACTTCCATTCAGAATCCACATAATGAACTGTGAGACAAAGATACCCTTCTGTAGCACAAGAAGTCCACAAATCACAAGTCAAACAAAGTCTGCCAAGAACCTCGCTCAAGATAGTTTTCAACTTTTCCTTTTCCCTCTTATGAATCTTCAAACAATGAGACTTAGCAGTGTTTCGAGTAAATGACTTGAAACAATCATTCAAGTAAGCCATCACATTCTGAAGTCCACCATGCTCAACAATTGCAAATTCATATCCATGCTTTATGATAGCCATAGCCATCAACTCCTTAAATTTTGTTTGATCTATTGGTTTTGAGTTTCCAACAATAGACACTGGCACTTCAGTTGCATATCCAACACACTTATGGCTATGGCGAGAGAGATTGGAAATACCTTTATTAACCATATAAAGCTTAGGACAGTTTTTGCATTGTGCTCTTGGTATATTGTCTTCAAATTGATTCCCCGGGATAAAATTAAATGTCTCCCAAGCCTTAGAAGTTCTTTGCCGCTTTTTTTGACCACTTGTTCGACCTGTAGATGTCGACACTGTTGCTAAATTGTCCTCATCTCCAGAACTACCACCATCAACGTGGCCTATAACATTTCTTTGTTGACTTGACATCCTGAAATCAGTCCAATTCCACGAGTTAATTATGAATACTGTCAAGTAACAAAACACACATATAGTATTGCATATAACAGACCAAAAAACCATTTCTCTTTTGTTAAAAGGCAAGAATCTATTCTCATGTTCATAAAATGGAACTCATGAGTCCTGACCAATTCACCATGCCATCAAAACATAAAGACTAACAACTAATTAAACAAAATGGAACTCAAAGGGGGAAGGAATTACCTGAGACTCAAGTACTTCAGACTGGAACTTGGACTAGTATGATTCTGGAACTTCAAAAATTTGGTTGCTCCAAGCTACTGTGCCAAATGTGCATTCAAGTTTGGAGTTCACTGCAATGGGTATGGAAATTAGCTCAAGAATCCATCAATGGGTATGGACATCATGTGTCAGGACTCAGGACATATATAACAAATGACCAAAGACACACATGGATGGATTGGCAATACAAGACCCAAATTAAACCCACGTTGGCACAAGGAGGCTAACTTTGGTGATCAAGCTAAATCCCACCTCAATCCAAAACAAAGCACCAAAAAGTGAGACTGAACTCATACTACGGGAGGCAGAGTGTCAATAGCAGCACAATACCAATAATCTACTAGAGGAGAGACGAAATATAGAAGAATTGTAAAAGAGATTCGATAAGAAAGGAGCCTTTGAACCTTTGAGACGCGGAACGAAGAGACGGCGTGCAAAGTATCTTCGTGGGTTTGGGCGAATGGTGCGATGAACGTCCTTTGAGAGAGCTGCAGGGGAAAAGACAACAGCTGGGACTGCGGCATGTAGGTTATGACTTCAAATGCTGGAGAGGGAGGCAGCGGAGACGTCGCCTGTGCTGGCCTTGAAGCTGGTGGTGTTTGGGGAATCAGATAATCGACGTTTTACCGGGGAGCTGGAGGGTAAACTACAGCAATTGAGATGGCGGCGAAGCGGGTTCTAAAGTTGGCGGCGAGGTGGGTTCAACTTGGAGAGGGAGGTGACGAGGTGGGTTCAACTCGGAGAGGGAGGCGGCGAGGATGCTGCCGACGATGAACTGGGGGCGAACAACATTCGATGTTTTTAGCGGCGACGAGTTCAGGGTGGTGTTTGAGAGAGTTAATGCTTCTTTCGTAAATTTGTTTTGATTGGTTGGTGGATATCCATCCATCCAATCCATTTATCCATGGATTAAATGGATTTGGACTATTATGGACTTGGATCAAATTTAAATGGATTGAATTGGATTGGATTAGTGGATTGGATAATTATTGCCACCTCTAAAAAGTAACAATGGTGCTAAATGATTCGGGGAAGCTGAATCCAGTGTGGATCGATAGTATGTCGTCTGCATCCGCCTTTGGTGTTGCATGAAGCCTATTATACCTTTGTTTTGTCCTTTGCATCTAACTACACACATGATTTACTTCAACATGCAACTCTGCCAACTTAAGATTGTATCTCAGTATGCAATGCAGGGTAGTGGACTTGGCAGGAGGATTACTTTGACACGATCAGTTGTTATTGTGAAACCAATTTGTCCATCCTGCTGTCAAACCTAATCCAGTCACCATGAGACACCAAATTAAGAAGTATATGAAAGAAAATGGATCAGTATAATATGCGATGAAAAAGTCATAAGAAGAAGTTGCTTGTTCGATTGTGGTTTACCAACCTTAACATAATGAGAGATTTTAAGACTAATGCAAATACAACAACTGATGGTTCCTCCTTTATGTGTTTCCTGGCTTCCTCAACTCACAATTAGCACGAGAGTCTTTGATTCAATGAAATGCAGCAAAGGGAAACAACTACCCGCATATAATCAATAAATGGAAACAACAATCGTCCCTGCTTGTGTCTCTCTGGCCAACTCAAACTAAAAGTCAGCGACCTGAGGAATGAGTGTTAGCCATCGTCGCCGCCGCTTTCCGAAAACAACACAATCTACATTCCTCCCACAAATGGATTGAAAAAAGTCATACCTTCAAGATTAACAAAATTGATTCTGCCACCAACGATCGACACTGATTGGATGGTATGGAAGAGCCAAGGATGGCAGCGGCCTTACGATGGCAAACCCCCAACGCAGCTTTCACACTCTGGCCAAAAGGAAGAAGAAGCATCAACCGCAAATGCAGTGGAAGGGTTTCACTGATGCGTGCGAACGACCAAGTGCAATTCAGGGAAGCCAATAACGTATGAGACTACCGATGGAGAAGCTAAGAAGCTGCCAGCATAGGTGAAGTGGTTCTTTCTGGATAAATACTTGACGCAAAGGGGCTCAGTCTCAGATCTGTCGTTCCCAGGGAGAAAGAGATCCGTAGGAGAATATGTCTTTCAAGGGAGAAAAGAACACGGTTACAGTTCCTAAAAGGAGAAAGAAAAAAGCCGCCAAAATACCCAGCCAACTCACCTCCCGTGAATCACTCTAATACAGATTTTTAATGGTGAAAGCAATTTTATGTTTCCACTATAAATCATAGTGTAGATACGTAAAAAAAAAATCATAGTATAGATTAGCCCACGAGACGAGCTCAAAGCCCAGCAGCGGCTGCGTGCGGCCTACAGAACTAGTACCATATCAATTCAGTGGGAAGTTGGGCCTTAGCTTATGAAATCTTCTTCTTCACCTTTGGCAATGGAAAACCCTAAAACCCCGCGTTGGTCTATAAAACGAATCCAGGCCATAAACTGACAAACACAAACTAGTGGGTGGGGCGGTCCCTTCGTCAAAGAGGTCCTAGCAAAATTAGGAGGTTCGAGAAGGTAACCAACAGGCGGGAGTCGAGTTCTTGAGGAGGTAGATCGATCTTAAGATTGCTGTCTGTCAACCTTTAATTTTGATATGAAAATCTGCTTGTCCGTCGATTTTAGCGATCTTTGAAATTCGTTTGTCTAGGTTTTCGTCGTAGGTAGTGGCTCGTTTGTATTTGTTTAGTCTGACTCCCGATCTGTCTCGATTATCTTCAGACTTCGTTGTCCAGTATCGAAGAACAATGGCGGGTGGAAATTTCATGCACAGGGTGCTTTCCTATGTGGTGAATGAGCTTATCGTCAACGGTTTAGCCAACAGGTATAATTCTTGCTTGGATAATCCTCCTCCTGGACTAGGGTTTTCGCCCTTGAGCATTGATCTCTTCCGTTAGCCTTGCACATCGTTTTTTCTTGCTTATTGCTGTTTTGTTTTGCTCTGCCGCTCTAAAGTACTGTTCTTTCTGGAAAAAGCTTCTATCTCTGACCATCTGGAATGACGCGTTCCTCGTTGGTTCGTTCATCTGAAGCGAAAGTGTCTCTCAGCTTCTATAATCTCTATCCCGTGGTGTGTCATAATATATGCACTATTGGCTTGGAAGTTACTGAGAACATAGGCATCTCGGTTTTTTTACTCTTTCAGTTGTTACGGTTTAATGACTTGATCATTAGAGCCTTCACTACTAGCCTGTCGATATAATGATTCAAACCCGAGCGGTTTGCTCCATGAAGCAGAAATGGTTCAAATCTACCAATTGGGAGTTGCAGGGCAATGTTGTCCTTGCAGCTCTGAAGTTCGGAAATAATTTTTGACATAGGTTGGGTAATGGTTTATCCTGTTGTGTGCTGTTCGTTTTCTCCCTGTATGTGACCTTGAGATGGCAGAAATGACTGCTTAATTGAAATCATCAAATCTGAGGCCTAACCATGCGATTCATTTATAGAGTTTGGTAGTAGACATGCCATATCATTTACTCCTGGTGTCAAGTATTGTGTAGTTAGAATAGTAGTAACTGTTGGTTCGTTCATCTGAAGCAAAAGTGTCTCAGCTTCTATAATCTCTATCCCGTGGTGTGTCATAATATATGCACTGTGGGCTTGCAATTTACTGAGAACATAGGCATCTCCGTTTTTCTACCTCTTTCAGTTGTTATGGTTTAATGACTTGATCATTAGACCCTTCACTACTAGGCTGTCGATATAATGATTCAATCCCGAGCGGTTTGCTCCATGAAGCAGAAATGGTTCGAATCTACCAATTGTGAGTTGCAGCGCAATGCTGTCATTGCAGCTCTGAAGTTCTGAAATAGTTTTTGCAATAGATTGGGTAATGGTTTATCCTGTTATGTGCTGTTCGTTTTCTCCCTGTTGCCTATGATGACAATGTGACCTTGAGATGGCAGAAATGACTGCTTAATTGAAATCATCAAATCTGAGGCCTACCCATGCGATTCATTTATAGAGTTCGGTAGTAGACATGCCATATCATTTACTCCTGGTGTCAAGTATTGTGTAGTTAGAATAGTAGTAACTGTTGGTTCGTTCATCTGAAGCAAAAGTGTCTCAGCTTCTATAATCTCTATCCCGTGGTGTGTCATAATATATGCACTGTGGGCTTGCAATTTACTGAGAACATAGGCATCTCCATTTTTCTACCTCTTTCAGTTGTTATGGTTTAATGACTTGATCATTAGACCCTTCACTACTAGGCTGTCGATATAATGATTCAATCCCGAGCGGTTTGCTCCATGAAGCAGAAATGGTTCGAATCTACCAATTGTGAGTTGCAGTGCAATGCTGTCATTGCAGCTCTGAAGTTCTGAAATAGTTTTTGCAATAGATTGGGTAATGGTTTATCCTGTTATGTGCTGTTCGTTTTCTCCCTGTTGCCTATGATGACAATGTGACCTTGAGATGGCAGAAATGACTGCTTAATTGAAATCATCAAATCTGAGGCCTACCCATGCGATTCATTTATAGAGTTCGGTAGTAGACATGCCATATCATTTACTCCTCCTGGTGTCAAGTATTGCGTAGTTAGAATAGTAGTAACTGTTGAGTCGTTGGGTTGATTGATGCGTTTTGTTCCATCATACAATTCCCAGGGCCTGATTCTAAGTTATTTGGAAAATCTTTATTAAAGTATAGATGTATGATATTTTGTTTTGGATGGTTGCAGCCCTTCGTTTCAGAGGTTTGCTGTGAGGACATCAAAGAGGTTGGAGGATGTTTCAAGTCTTGGTGCGTCTCTTTTTTTCCTTACATTTTATATCACGTGTTTATCTTCTGGTTGTGGACTTGTGGTCTCATATTGTTTGTGAATGTGTGTATCTCAGCCGGGAAGACTAAACAAGAACTTGCTGAGCGTATGAGGAATGTAACCGATGTAAGATTGCTTGTGCTGGTTTTTAGCTGCTCAGTACTTGTTGGTGTGTTGATGATGATGATGATGAGCAACTAACTGTTTCGTGCTTCACTGCAGAATTTCAAGAAATAGTAATAGAGACTCTTGATGGTCACTGCAGAATTTCAAAAACTAGTAATGGAGACTCTTGATGGTGAAAATCGCAGAGATGTAAATTTGTTTTGCCCTGTGACGGGAACAGCGGAAAGAGTTATTAAGTAGATAATGATGAATAATGTCTTAAGGCTTGTTGTAGCCTTTCGTTTTTCTCTGGTGTAGTGGGCATATTTGTTTGTACTGTAAATAATGGATTAATATTTCTGGTTTTGAACCAATAAAGCATATCCAAAGGAGATGATGTTGTCCACTGAGCCTTTCTGTATCAACTGAAATCTACTCTATCGACAATCTGGTGTCAGTGATTTCGTGTATAAATAAAATTGTTAAACAACGCCCTAACCTTGATATGTAAATCAGTATTGTCCATTTTAAAATTTTGAATTTTGATCAAACAACTAAGACTCTAAGAGCATCATATCAATCCAATATGCTCTTTATTGTCAAAAAACATTTTTGCAATCTACATTACTTTAGGATTACTTTAGGGATTGTTTGGATGTATCAATCTAGAAATGAGACAATTTGACCAATTGTCTCATTTATAAACGAGGCGATTAAAATGAGTCTTTGAATTACCTGCTCCGCCTCAAACAATTGAAATTGACTTAATACGGATCAATTCAAAATACCTTGGGGTAGTTTGGATGAGGAATTCTAATGGATCACTCTGACACAATTGTCTCGTTTTGAGACAATTGTGCCAGATTGATTCGTTTGGTAGCAGAAAATTCGATAAAGCAATTTGGTTGGAGAATTCTGAATTGACTCATTTTGAGCCAATACAGATTGTCTGGGGTGGGGGAAGGTAATCTAAATTGACTCTTTTTAAATGATTCGTTTTGTAAAATGAAACAATTGATCAAATTTTTTCGTTTTACAATTGATCCATCCAAACGACCCTTAGGCAAATTGATACATCCAATTTTTTGTGTTAGCAAACAAGTCAATTTGGTACAATTGTCTCGAAACGAGACAATTGCGTCAATTGGGGTCATTTGGATGAGGAATTCTAATGGAACAATCTGACACAATTGTCTCGTTTTGAGCCAATTGTGCTAGATTGATCCGTTTGGCAGCAGAAAATTTGGATAAAGCAATTTGGGCTGGGGAATTCTGAATTGACTCATTTTGAGCAAATTACAATTGTCTGGGGTGGGGGCAGGTAATCTGAATTGACTCGTTTTAAATGACTCGTTTTGTAAAATAACAATTGGTCAAATTGTCTCGTTTTACAATTGATCCATCCAAACGACTTATAAGGGGTCGTTTGGATGAGGAATTCTAATGGATCAATCTTACACAATTGTCTCGTTTTGAGTCAATTGTGCTAGATTGATCCGTTTGGCAGCAGAAAATTTGGATGAAGCAATTTGAGCTGGGAAATTCTGAATTGACTCATTTTGAGCCAATTACAATTGTCTGGGGTGGGGGCAGGTAATCTGAATTGACTCGTTTTAAATGACTCGTTTTGTAAAATGAAACAATTGGTCAAATTGTCTCGTTTTACAATTGATCCATCCAATGTGGCAAATTTTGTTTTTGCAATTGAATTTACAATTGCACCAATGTAGATGCTCTTAGAGTATCCACTTCAAACTTTCATATTGAATTGCAAACTGATGTGGCAATGGAAATGTAATTAAATTTTTAATTACATGGATGAAAGTCTTAATTGCATTTGTGCAAGCTATTATAAAATGCAATTTCATTTTCTATTTCTCTCTTTAGTTCATTTGGTTTTTTCATTTTTATATATTTACATGTGATGGCCACAAGTCATTAATTTTATGTTAGGCCCATCAATTGCAAGTTTATTGCATTGATGTAGGTGAATGAAATTAGGGGTACTTTGAATAATGAATTTAATTTATGCAATTCAACTCATTTCAATTTCATTACGCCAACACCAATGCAATTCACTTGCAATTGCACTTGAAACTCAATTAATTGTATACCAAAATAAAATGTGGCTATAAAATAAATTTTAAAGTAACTATTTTTACAAATAAAAATAATTACTTCAACAAATATATATAATTTACACGTTCTCCATGGAAATTATCCAAAAATTCCAATAAAATTAAATCTATGGCAACAATGTGCACACGATGGCAATGGAATTATAAAACAAAAAAAAAAAACCCCCAACAAATGATACAGTTTTCCAGCGGGGCTTGCATTGAGGATTGTAACAAATGAAAGCTTTCATGTTCGCAATAACTACTCCCATCCGTACAGCAGGAAAAAACAATTTCAAACCTCCTGCCACGTCAAAGTGCAATTGCATTCAAGCGTTGATGCTCATGCTACTAACTCCAAGTCTCCAACCCACAAAGCAAAATTTGGCTACTCAAATAGCCAAATATGACTCTTTAGCTCCTCAATCTCCATTCTCACTCCTCAACGATCGCATATTTCATGTGCGGGCATGGACACCCACGATTTCCAAACAGGTGTTTGATGATTTGGCAGTGGCTCCATTCCACGTCCAGCTATGGGATATCAAGGAGGGATGTTGCACACCCCAGTTTGGGCGAAAAATCGCCAATGATAAGATTGGAAAGGTACTGGAAACTGGCATCTTTACTTGCCATGATTGGGACCAATGCTTTGTGAAAGTGAGAACAATGATAGACTTCTCCAAGCCGCTGAGGTCGCAGGTAATGGCGGCTAATGATGAAATTGGGTGCTTTTGGGTGGCCCTCAAATATGAGCAGCTACCGAGCTTATGTTTCCGATGTGGCCGGGTTGGGCATTTCCAGCGCGAGTGCACGTTCGACCCTCCTGCTAGAAAGGAAAAATTTGGCATGCACATGTCAACTCGGAAGCGGGGGGTAAAGGTCTACGTGGCTGATGAGGAGAACCCTCCAACCGTTTGGGTCAACCAAAATCTGCGGCAGTCACAGAGGGCAAATGAGGAGTCCTCTGGCAGACCAGCGGCTCGGAAAGAAGCAAGCATGGAGGGCGAACATGAAGGAGGACGGCTGGTCACTGTTGCTGTTGAGAAGTTGGAGGCTCGGCAGGCTCGGGTCGGACCTCGTGGAGGTGGCGGCTCGCGGCAGGAGACTCCGCGGGACACGCGGCATGGTGTGTCGGGGGAGGTGCCAGCCCGGCAGCACCCTAGTCCCCGGGGATTCTTGGTTTCCAAACCAGTGCGCCTGCAACGTTTGGGTCGATCGAATACGCCCATGGAGGTGGAGCAGGGGGCCGCGCACCTGGAGCAAAGGAGCCGGCGGGAGGGAAAGGGAAGGGTAAAGGCTGAGGGAAATACAGTGGAATCGCCTCGTGTTGGCCGCAAGCAGCTGAGTGTGGCCGCTGTTCATGGCCAGCAGGGGGTGCGACGGGCGGGGAAGAAGAAACTTCGTCGTGGTTTGAAGTAAGGTCAGGAGCCTCCCCAAATTCTCCAAGACCTTGCTGTGCGGAGGCGCAAGCTGCTGCTGGAGGAGTCGGAGGATGATGAACTGCTGCTGTCCGCTGCTGTTGGTGAGAAGGGGACGAATGGTTTGGTCCAAAATGGGACCCCTCGAGTGGCCTCTATGGTGCGGGATCGATCAACGTCCCGGGACCCGATTGGCAGCTTGAAGGGGGATCGAGAAGAGGCTGCAGATGAAGAGATGCAACGGGCTGCTCGGGTGCGGAGGGGAAGATGGTGGTGGGGGAGGATGAGTCAGAGGAGTGGGAGCCATCTTTGAAGAGTAAGGGCGCCTTGGAGGATTATTCGGATGCAACATTATCGGATGGAGCTGCGGACCAGTTTGTGATTAAGAGTCGGGCTCCTCTGGTGGTGGATGCAGCGGATAAGCAGATGGTGCCGGGACGGGTCAAGCAGGTTGTACAGGCGTTCGAGGCTTGCAAAATGGTGGGTAATGATGCTGAGAAGGTGGGCGATGTAGTCCAGATTGATGAATATGGTTTGAATGTTGAATGGATGGGGGGAGGTGGCCGTAAGCGTTTGTGGAGCGAGGCGATGGTGGATGGGGAGGAGAGCTCCATGGTGAAGAAGCAATTTGTGGAAGAGGTGGAGGAAGAGATGCTGAAATCGGTGGAGGAAGCCAGCCGGAAATGGCCCCAGCCGGATAAATGAAGATATTGGCATGGAATGTGAGGGGAATCGGATCCCCCCTCACATTTCAGTCTGCTGTGGGTCTGGTTCGGTCAAATAGACCTGATGTTGTTTTCTTTTCTAAGACTCGGTCTCGTCGGCGTGTTGTCTCCCGTCGTTTGAGGGGATTAGGTTTTCAACTTTCGCATTGTCATTTTGTGGATGCAATCGATGCATCTGGTGGTCTAGTTGTAGCTTGGATGCCTGAAGTTGATGCTTCGGTGTTTTTTCATTCGGATTTTGCTATTTGTATTCGTATTAATGAAGGTGATTTTTCTTATGTGGTGGTGAATGTGTATATTAGCTGCATTGAGACCCAGAGAGCCTCTCAGCTGGCTCACCTAAGACAAATTTGTGATAATATCCAAATGCCATTTGTGGTAATTGATGATTTTAATGCTACGTTGCATGCTGGGGAAAAAGATGGGGGGAATGCGTGGAATGTGGGCCAATCAATTTCCCTCCATTCTTTTATCCACAATCTGGGCCTTCATGATCCGGGGTTTCAGGGGGATCCGTTCACTTGGACTAATAAAAGAATGGGCCAAGCTTGTATTCGTGAGAGGCTTGACCGTGCCCTTTGCTCTCAAGGTTGGATGGACCGGTTCCCTGAATCTATGGTGAAACATTTTACGGATCAAGGGTCGGATCATAGGGCCCTGCTGTTGTCAGATAAGTCATACCCCCGCATTTGTCGTCCCCTATTCCGGTTTGATGCTCGCTGGGCTGAGAATCCGGAGGTGAGGGCGATGGTGGTCTATGTGTGGGATGAAGAGGTGGAGGGTTCCCCTATGTATAGATTGTGGACTCGTTTGAAACGCCTTCGACACCTGTTATATGACTGGAGTAGAGCAGGGATGACTAATTCTCTTCGGAATATCAATACACTCCAAGCTGAGATAGATCGAATCAAACAGGTGTCCCCAATTAACTGGGACGAAGTGCGGCTACTAGAAAGTGAGCTTAGCCGCCAGTGGGAGGCGGAAGAGGTGTACTGGGAGCAGAAATCTAGAGTGCGCTGGTTGAGACGAGGGGATCAGAATACTTCCTATTTTCATACGGTCACTCGGGCTAGACGTAAGCGTAATTTCGTGGTGGGTTTGCGTAATGACGCGGGGGAGTGGGTTACTGAAGAAAGAGGGAAGGCTGATTTGGCTTCTGATTTTTATCAACACCTCTTTTCTTCAGAAAATCAAGTTCCTGATATGGGGGCCAGGGTTGAGGCCTTGCCTCTGCAGAGGAAAGTTACTGAGGAGATGAATGCTCAGCTTACTGCGGCGGTGTTGCCAGCAGAAGTTCGGAGTACGGTTTTCTCCATGGGCTCCAGGCAGGCTCCTGGGTCTGATGGTTTCACGGGGAAATTTTTCAAATCTTTTTGGGATATAGTGGGCGGGTCGGTGGTTGAGGCTGTTTGCTCTTTCTTTCAAACGAACCGCCTATTGCGGAGTTTTAACCATACTTGGCTCACTTTGATCCCGAAGGTAGATAATGTGGAGACCATTCGCCAACTAAGGCCCATTAGCTTGTGCCAAATTGTGTATAAGGTGATTACTAAGATTATGTCTGAACGTCTGGCCCCTTTCCTACCTGAGATCATTTCGGAGGGCCAGAATGCTTTTATCCGGGAACGTCAGATAGTGGAAAATGTGTTGTTGGGGCATGAACTAATGCACTACCTAAAAATTAAGAATCGGGGGAAGAAAGGCTATATGGCTCTGAAGGTAGATATGTAAAAAGCCTATGATAGAGTTGAGTGGCCCTTTCTGCTTGCGATTCTAGCTAAATTGGGTTTCAACCAAACGTGGATTGGTTGGATTAGGGAGTGTCTTAGTTCGGCCTCCTTCTCTGTACTTATGAATGGTTCTCCGGCAGGGTTTTTTCGTTCGTCCCGTGGGCTGCGCCAGGGTGACCCCCTTTCTCCACTTTTGTTCGTGTTATGTACTGAAGGGTTCTCGGCACTCTTGCGCATGGCCATTGATGAGGGGAAATTGGAGGGAGTAAAGGTGGCACCCCAGGCGCCCAGGATTTCCCACTTGTTTTTTGCGGATGATTCGTATTTATTCTTACGAGGTTCGCTTCAACAATGTGAAAATCTGATCGAGGTGCTGAATGAATATGAGGAACTGAGCGGTCAGCGGGTTAACCTGGGGAAATCGGCTGTGTGCTTTAGTAAGAACATAGCTGTTCAGGATCAGGAATTTCTGGGTCAGATCTTGGGGGTTGGGGCGGTTGGGGTCCATGATAAGTATCTGGGTCTGCCCTCCCTCATTGCCCGATCGAAGACGGCCACTTTCCGGTTCGTGGAGGAACGGTTAATCGCACGGCTGCAAGGATGGGCTCAGAGGACTTTATCTCCGGCTGCCAGGGAAACCTTGATTAAGTCTGTTGCTTCGGCACTCCCGTTACATGTGATGTCTTGCTTCAAGCTGCCGCTCTCACTTTGTAGAAGTCTGGATCGATTGGTAGCACGGTTTTGGTGGGGAGTCGAGGACGGACAGTCTCGGATCAGGTGGATGTCTTGGAGAAGGATGTGTAGGAGTAAGCATGAGGGAGGGCTGGGTTTCCGGCGTTTTGAGTTTTTTAACCAGGCGTTACTGGCTAAGATTGGGTGGCGTATTTTGATGGATCCCCAATCCCTCCTAGCCTGGGTGTATAAGGGGAAGTATTTTCCTCGTGGGTCCTTCCTTTCAGCGACTGCTCGATCACGGCCTTCCTGGGGTTGGCAAAGTATTCTGTATGGAAGGCAGCTGCTCGTTCGTGGGCTTAGATGGCAAGTGGGGGATGGTAGGGAGGTAAATGCTTTAACTGAGTGTTGGGTTCCAGAGCTCCATCCTGACCCGCCCACGGTTAATCCAAGAATTTTCCCTGACGAGGAGGATCTAAAGGTGGCGAATTTTGTTTTCCCAGTTGAGGGGCGGTGGTTGGTGGATAAATTGGGTGATTGGTTTCCCCCTGATGTTTGCCGTGCTATTCGTAGTATTCCGTTGCCTAGGAGGGCGATGGAGGATAGGCTTGTTTGGCACATGACAGGGGATGGGGTGTTTTTGGTGAAATCTGCTTATCATCTGGCTGTAAGCTTGGATCAGCAGGCTGGAGGCTGGCGCCCAACAGTTAGTTGGATGGATCGGGCAAGTTGGAAGCGGGTGTGGAATCTCGGGATTCCGCCCAAGTTGAAGGTGTTCTTATGGCAAGTGTTGCATCGTTTCCTGCCCACTACAGAGGCGCTTATCGGGAGGAGGGTGGCTGTTCATCCCCGGTGCCCGGTTTGCTGGGCTGCGCCGGAGACGATGGAGCACCTCTTTTTGGACTGTCGGGTGGCTCGGGCGATGTGGGATTATGCGGGGTTAGAGCATGTGGGCCAAAGGTTGCCTCGCCATACTTTCCCTGTTTTTCTGAAAAGACTGCTGGCCATCATCAAAGACCCGTCGTAGATCATGGCGGTGGTGGCTGTGCTCTAGCGGATCTGGAAGTCAAGGAATTGGGTGGTCTTTGAGGGCAAACAATTTGGGTTTCCGGCTTTACTCCCTCAGTACCACCAGCAGCTGGGGGAATGGGTTTCACTCCCGAGGGAGGGGATGGGGTACAACCCGGTGGATGGTATTCCTCGGGTGCCCCCATGCCCCCCAGGGTACCATTGTTTGTAGGTGGGATGGAGCGGTCAGGTATGGGTCGCACTCGGCCTGGGGGGTGGTGTTGCTGGGCCCGGACATGGAGGGGGATGGTGCTATAGGTGTCTATTTCCCAGAGGTGGATGATCCGAAGCTCGTTGAGCTTTTGGTTCTCAGGGAGGCCATCATGTGGTGCCGCAACCGAGGGCTCATGCAAGTTCAATTTGAGGGGGATGCAAAGGTGGTGATTGACAGGCTCAATTCGGCCCAGGGGAGTGATAGTACTGCGGGTGCGATTTTTCGTGAAGTGCTGCTCTATCTGGCGGAGAATGAAGGGTTTAGGATTCGTTTCGTTGGTCGGCGTAGTAACAGGGTAGCCCACTTGGTGGCTATAAAAGCCCTTTCTTTGTACCCGATAGCGAGTCGGTCTTTTGTTGTAGCCTGGTTAAGGCATATGATGTAACGATCTTTCTTCAATATCAATATATGATTATCTTTTCTCAAAAAAAAAAAATCTCCATTCTCACTCCAACCCTGCAAGAAGTTAAATTTAACTTTCCACCTCCCTTTTTCAATTTATTTCAATAAAACATACTTATTTGACCTCAAATTTTTATATTTCACTTTAATTTTTTTATAGTTTGTTATTACTTTTGTAAACAAAAATTTTGATGTAATTTTTAAAATTTTGGGACATTTTTTTTTGGAAAATTCGTCGTTAATTTGTTACCATTAAACTATGGGACCACTCCAAAATATGATCGTTTTTTAGCCGTTACTTTACAACCTTTTTTTTGTCATTTTGTGAACCATATGTCATTATAAATGACAGTTTTTCATCAACTTATCTGAAACTTCTTCCCATTTCTAAAACAAACACATTCATCGTGAGTATCTTAGATAGCTCATCGTCTGGAGGAGAAGAAGAAATTGAAGAGTACGAAAGGTTTCACCACCTACGTTTGATTTTGATCGGTCGGAGGTTGGCCGAAGGTTTATCAAGTCGTCGTCAAACTACAAGCCGACGTCACATTGATCGTGAAAGGGTCGAATGTAATCGACGTTTTATGAGGGATTACTTCGATCCAAATCTAGTATACAATGCTCGCATATTCAGTAGGCGCTATCGGATGCAGCCAAGATATTCCATCGCATTATGGGAGACATTGTGAGGTTTGACCCCCTCATATCCTCTAAGGCGTGATAGCTATGGTCAATTATCACTATCTCCAGAGCAGAAGCTTACTGGTGCGATGCGCATGCTAGCATATGGTTCTCCAACTGATCAACTTGATGATTATGTTCGTATGGGTGAAAGCACCTTGATGGACGTCTTCAGAAAGTTTTGCAACAACATTATCAACATGTACGAGCCACATGTCTTCGCGCACCTACTCCTACTGATTTAAGGATCTTACTCCGTAAAGCCGCAAGTCGTGGCTTTCCTGGAATGACGGGATCAATTGACTGCATGCATTGGGAATGGAGGAATTGTCCAAATGGTTGGGCAGGACAATACATGCATAGGCCAACAATCATTCTAGAGGCGGTGGCCTCCTACAACATATGATTATGGCACCAGTGTTATAGGGATGTCACCAGTGTTTGATCGTATTGTCAATGAAAGCGCTCCACATGTACAATTTGAGGTAAATGGTCATGCTTACGAGCAATGTTATTATCTGGCTGACGGTATTTATCCCTCATGGTCGACTTTAGTGAAGACCTTCAGCAATCCAAGGTTAAACAAAGAGGCCTTGTTTTCTCGACATCAAGAAGCACACCTCAAAGATGTAGAGCGGGAACAACACATCATGCGCTTCGAAATGACTTGGTTAAGCATCTTTGGAATTTGTATTACAATAACTAGTCTTGTTTAATTATGGATTGTATTGCATGTTTCAATATTAATTTTACTTCATGTTGCTTGGTAGTTTGTATTTCAAGTTTCAGTATGTGATTGTATTTCATGTTTCAATAAAGTGTATCTTTTAGTTAGTCCAACTATTCAATAACACTAGTTTTTATTACACATGAAAATGCTCAAAGTTCAAAGAGTACACATAGCACATGAAAACAACAAAGTTCAAAGACAACACACAATACACAACACATTAGAGCAATAAAGACAATAAAGTACACATAGGACCTTCTTCTAGTTATAATCTATGACAGGAAAGTAATCACATCCACTTTCATCTCCATCTCCTCCACCACTTGCATTTCCATCTCCGCCATCACTTGGATTAGAGTTGGGATCATCTTGATCATACCCATAGATGTCATTTTATTTATGCCTCCAAAATATCTTCTTTCTTGGTGTCATCTTTGATAAATCCTTCTCCAGAATAGCCATATTTTGTTGAAGTATTGCGGCTTTCCTCTCTTTCTTCTCGACAACCCACTTTTCCGCTTCACACTCCCTCACTTGCCTCTTGTATTCCCATTCCTCGGCTTCCCTCTCTAGTCTCCTCTCTTGAACATTTATTTTTCTATTTTCGTACTCCATCCTCGAATTTGCCTCTCTCTCATATCATTACCAAACTCTAGCAGTTGAGTAGTGTACATGTCTGACGATTCAGCAACTACCTTCCTTTCTTCTTTGCTTCCTTTTGTTTGTCGCGTCCTTCAGGGCGAGACAACACAAAAGGTGCAGCTCCCTCGTATGGTATGTTGTCGAGGCCTTCCACCGGGGAGGATTGAGAACCGATACCTATGGGAGAACTTTGAGAGCCTTGACCCATAGGTGAAATAGGACCAATAGCCAGTTGAGGGTCACAATACCACTTTTAGCAAGTTCGAATGATGACCCAACAATGCTCACAAGGAAAGGCTTGTTCTTATTCTCTTCCTTATATATTAATCTTGCTACAAATTCCTTTTAAAATTGTTAATACACAAGTTAGAGAAGAAAATACATAAAAACAAGAAATACAAAAGTTAAAGTTTCCAAAACAATACCACATCAACTTGGTGTCGCTCGATTGATGTCTCTCCGCCCTCTGCAAAATTCCCTTCCAGGCATTACACTTGGCACTGATAAGCCTCATTCGCGATTCCATTGAATGCTTAGTAAGAGTTGTTGTAGGATCGCGTCTTTGATGTTCCAACGCCGCCCTATCTCA